GGCCTGAGCCTCCCACGCAGCCCAGCAGGTGCCCTCTGGAGGCCAGGACGCTAGCGGAGGGCCTGCTGCAGGGCCCGGACCCGGGCAAGGCAGGCAGCAACGGGCCGGCGCTGGGCCTGGATCTCGGCCGCCAGGCACTGGAGCTGCGCCTCCACCTGTGGGCAGAGGGGTGGCTGGCGGAGTGGGTGCGCAGCCCGGGCCCTCCCGGGGCTGCTGGGGGCACGGTAGCCTCACCTCCTCCAGCTCCTTCTGCACCTGACGCTCTGCTTCCTGGTCCCCGGGCCTGGGCTCCTCCCGGCTCAGCTCCAGCCACCTGCGCAGGCTGCCCGCCTGCCGCTGACAGGACCTGAGGGGTTGAGACCTGTTGCCCACCAGGTGCAGTGGCGGGTACGGGGCCCCTGTCTTGAGGTAGGCCACCCCTGCCCCTCCTCCAGCCTTCCCCATCTTCCCCTGGGCGCTCATGTGAAATTGCCCTCCTCGTCTCCCCGGGAGGCAGCGAGTCGGGACAGTGCAGGCCCCTAAAGTGTCCTGAGGCTGCTGCTGCGGCATCTCGCCAGTCGCCAGGCCTGGTCCCCGAGCTTCATGCCTGTGCTCACTTCACCTCTGCCTGGCACGTGACCCCATGACGCGCTTCGTCCGTCCTCCCTGTGAGAGCTGCCAGCCCCGGCTTCCGAATCACTGGCTTCCGCAAGGCTGCCACAGCAAGCGGGTTTCCGGACAGCGCACCTCAGGTTCCCCACCCCCCAACTCCTGGCTGAGTGCTGTCGGGAAGGGCGCCTGCGGGTCTCACCAGAGGTTCTGCTTGGTGGTCTGGTAGTGCTGTAACTGCTGGCGGATCCCCTCAAGTTCAATTTCAAGTTCAATGTCGCCTGTGGGCATGAGGGGAGAATGAATTTGATGCTGACACTCTTCCCCTTTCCTTCTGGGAACAAGGTGGACACAGGGGTGGCAGACACAGCCCTCCCCCTCCCCCGGAGCTGCTGGTGCCCACTGCACGGCCAGGTCTCAGACCTGCTGCTTCAGAGCTAAGCCCAGGGTGGGCCCTGGTGCCTGTGAAGTCGCCAGGGAAGAGCAGATGGGGGTTGTGGGCACCAGCCAGGGAGGGGGTTGCCTGGGGCTGACGCCCTGCTGATACCTGTGGAGGAAGGAAGAACACTGACAGACCCCGCCCTCAAGCCTCTGCCCATCACTGAGGGTGGGGTGCAGGAGGCTGAACTTCCGGGGCACCCCACCCCGCTCCCCCAGGAGCTGGCTTAGCACTGCTCAGAGCAGCTGCTTCGGGCGGGGCTCCTCTGCCTCCCCCCACCTGGCCGGGCCGCGGTGCCGTGAGCAGGGCGGGCAGACGCACCTGTTCACAGTTGTCCAACCACAAGCCTGCCCTGGCTTCCCTTCTTTCCTCTGGTGACTGGCCCCCGTCACTCCCACCCTGGGGTCAGCACACAAAACCAAACCCTCTCGACCTCACACCCCACTCCAGCCCCCTATCTGGGCCTCTCCCTCCATTCCCTCCCACAACT